GTACATATAACACATGTGCTGCCAAGAAGGACTGAAGCCCGTTTCCCAAACATGCCCTGGGGTTTGCTGCTCCTGTCGTTCACCCAGGCACTTGTCCCCTTCTCCTCCATCCACATCTGCCCACTCTTCCAAGTATATCTCACACTCATCTTCTGAGAGCTTCTACCACCCCCCTTCACTCCACTAGACTTACTATGTCCATTTCCCCACCACACCACATGTATAATTCTACCCTGTTTTGTTCATGGTGGATGTGAGCTCCTTGGGAGCAAGGACTACATTTTAAGAAAGCACTGTTTAATCTCTAGCACTGCCATGTAACTGGTTAGACTGGAAAGACCATGGGCTTCAGAATCAAGTGGCCAAGGATAAAAATGGTGTCTGTGGCTTATCACTGAGAGACTTTCAAAGAGTCACTTAACCTTTCTGAACTGTTTGCCCTTTTATTAGTACAGTACTGATAATATTAGCCCTACAATATTATGCTAAAATTAAATGACTGTGAAAGTGTCTTGCTCACAGTAGTTGCTCAGTAATGATCCATCTCCACCCTTTTTTTTAAAAGTATATGTATTAGATTTATTTAAACATGTTCAATAAAGCAATACATATTTATTAAATCCGTTTTTCCAGTTCCTAACTCTAGTTTTCTCAGGGGTTTGTTTGTTTGTTTGTTCGACAGGTTCTCATTCTGTCACCCAGACTGAAGTGCAGTGGTATGATCATGGCTCACCGCAGCCTCAGACTCCCGGGCTTAAGTGATCCTTCCACCTCAGCCTCCCAAGTAGCTAGGATGATAGGCCTGTACCACCATGTCCAGCTATTTTTTTGATTTTTTTTTTTTTTATAGGGATGAGATCTCACTATGTTGCCCAAGTTGGTGTCGAACTCCTGAGATCAAGTGATCCTCTCACGTCAGCCTCCCAAAGTGCTGGGATTACAGGCGTGACCTACCACACGTGACTTCATTTCAGGTTATTATACAGGTGTAAAAGCCTGTTTGTTCTACACTGGTTTCCCTAAGAGGAGCTACCTTGACCTAAAAAATAAGGAAAGCACCAACCACAAAACCATATCTTCCTCGGTCAGTTATGTACATTAAAAAAAAAAAAATTCCACATGAGCTAATATTCTAGAAAACTGGAATTTCACTGGCAATTTGTTTATTCCCATATAATTCTAAAAGTAAATATCACCAGATACATAGAAGCTGATATGAGTCAGAATGGTGACTGGTGGCTGGGATAAGGGACAGAAGACAACTGCAGGTATAGTAGATGAGAAAATTAGTTGTTTAGCGCTGACTTATGGCCGTGATTGTCATACTAATTAAAAGCATCAATTCCTGATTTAGTTATTAAAATGTGTTTATGCTAACTTGTTGAAGTTTTTGTACTAACAAAATAAAATTTTATTTTTCTAAGATGTTTCAGGACCAAGGTTATTGTGGAAGTTTTCATTTGGGGGCTGAAGAAAAGAAGCTGGGGCCTGACATTTGAGGCTATAGGGTCGACAGAAAATGGGGCGGGCTGAAAGAGGAGACACCTTAGACCTGCAAAGGGTGGAGCCAGATGGTTAGGTATGGAGTGTGAGTTCATAGTCCTATTCTCTTTATTGACAACATGGATCAGTATCACTGCCAGCCCAAGCAACCAGGAAAGTTCCTGGCCAAAACTGCAAATCCTCCTTCATTTCCCAGAATTGGAATTCTCATTCAATTGATTCTCCAGAAAAAGAAAGGTCCATTTTACATTTTCATGAGTAATCTTGTTTGCGATCACAAAGCCCAGAACACAGCTTCAAGATCATCTTGTTATCTAACCCATGGTTCCTTTTTTTAAAAAATTAGAACTGCTGGAATACTAAGGGCAACAACAGCTGATAGATCCCATGATGGCATTGTGAAACAAAACAAAATGGAAACTTTAAAACCTTGGAAAACAATTTTATTTTATCTACAAGTCGACTACTAAATACAGACGAAATCAGAGAAAAAGTATATTTTTATCCAACTACACATGGATTTAGGTGAATTACTATTTATTCAGAATCATTTTAATGCTATTTGTTATTCTAACACTTCTGAAAATTCCATCTGATAATAGGAGTTTTTGAAACAGTAATAAACGAGGGTGAAATTGGTGAGGGGATTGTTGGGCTTTATTCAAAGGGCTACTCAAAACTTAACATATAGGTGTCATTCAGAATTTAAGAAGAAAAATAATGAATCATCAGAAACGGATAAGATGGAAGGATATAGATTATAGATATACATACACATATGTACATAGATACACATAAGACTTCCACATCCCAATAGATCAGCTTGTTAGGGAATTCTGTCATCAATTCTTGCTTCTGTCAGAGCAAACAAACAAACAAACAAAAACCAGCCAGAACAGTATGAACAATGACCATCTACGGCCGTCAAAAACTTCTCATTCATTCAGCAAATATTTGAGTCTTTACTATGTGTTGACATTGGAGAGGCAAGGAGAAGCAAGAAATAATCTCTTGCTTTGAGAAGCTCATTGTCTAACCGAGAATGCAGAACAGCAACCAGATACTTAGAATGACCTGTGCTAAGAGCAATGATAGAGATGAGCTTCAGGTACCGTGGGAACACTAAGGAAGGATGCCCAAGCCAAGGGCTTCCTGGGAGAGCTTTGGTGTCTGAGTAAGAATTTACCAGGTGAAGCAGAAGGGGAAATAGCTTCTAGAAACAGAACCACCAAAAGCAGAGGCAGAGTATGAGGAGGAGGAGGAAGTACTTCACTGTGATGGCAGCCCAAAGCAAAGGGAGTACCGAGAGAGGCAAGGCTAGACATGCAGGCCTGACTGTCTTAATTAACTTTAAATTAATAAAAAATGAATATGGCTTTCTCCTCATTTGGAAAAACAAAACAAACAAAAACCTTAGTTTCTTAAGTGAATTCAAAATGTATTCTGCTGAGAGAAAATAATTTCACTTCTCATTCTGATTGGCTGTATATTTGCTTAAATAATTGTTTCTGAAAATTACAGAAGGATATAAAATACTTTATACAAATGTCAACAGAAATCTGATCATTAATCATGTAGCAATTAACTGCCTTTCCTGGTTTATGTGTACTTGAAGGATAACGAAAAGCGCTGCATAACTAAAGATAAATAACTCCTCCTCAAAGAATCTTCTTTGAAACCTTGGGGTATTTGGTGTCTGGTCATAGTTTGGGAGGAGGAAGTGGTGGAGTACTTAGGGGAGTCCTTCACTATGGGTGAACTCAGTGTTAATATCTTACCTTTTTTTTCTGGTGAACTCTCAGCGATACCTTTGCTGCCTCAAATTGCTCTGTGATCTGTCAGGTGTTAGAGGGATCAGCAGTGTAAAAAGGTGCACAGAAGCTCAGACTGAATCAAAAGGGGTCTGCCCCTTTCCTGGGCATATCAAATATGGAGGCATCACATTTACCAAGAGGCAAGACGGCAGCAAGTTGACAAATCAGTTCCCTCCTGAAAGTGCTCTGAGGCTCTAGACCTACTTTCCTGCCTCAGCTTTCAGCGCCAGGCCATCCCTGCCTTTTCTCCAACTTATCCTGACAAACTCAGCCCTCTTTGCACTAATGAAGCAAATCATCGTGTATTAGTAACTTTAAGTTACCTCCAGCTCCTTTAGATGACTTTCACTCTTCCTTGTCCTGGATATTTTTAAATGACAGATAAAAATAACTATTTTCAGAGCTGGAAGAGACAAAAATGCTTGTCCTGAAGGGAATGAACACTTGCTTTAACTAAAGCTTTTCAAAAAAAGTATATATTAAGTATAAATATAGTATTACATGAAATTATGTGACAAATTCACTGCAAAATAGTCAATTTTTCAATTGTAATTATTTTTATGTAAAGTTTTTTTTTAAAGGTAAACTTGGTAAAATGAAGCAGAAGAATGAAGAAACAAACAAAAAAAAGAAACACATTTATGCTGAGACCAGGTCATGTCTTAAGAAGAAAGTGGTTTCTGCTAGTTGGCAAGAAGAAAAAAAAATACTAGACAACATTTCTCCTGTACAGTAGGACAAAAAGTGTATCTTAGCCAAATAAGTCAAAAGGCTATTACCTTCCACCAGATCTTGAGGGGATTCTTATTCTTAATTATAAACACTTATTGCAGTGCAATATTAGAAACGCTGCTTAGCACTGCAATAAGCGTTTTATAAAACTTAATTCATCATCACAACTATAAGATGGGCCCACTTTACAAATGAAGGAACTGGGGCTCAGAGAGGCCAAGGAACTTGCTCAAAGCCACACAGCTAGTAAGTTGTAGAGCCATAAGTCGAACCAATGTCAGACTAAATCCAAAATTTTTCTTCCGAACTTTTATACTATACATGTCCTTTATCTAGTGACATGCTGAGCTCATTAAGTGAGAAATCAGCCAGGCGTGGTGGCTCAAACCTGTAATCCCAGTACTTTGGGAGGCCGAGGTGAGGGGACTGCCTGAGCCCACGGGTTTGATAATAGCCTGGGCAACTTGGCAAGACCTCTTCTCTACAATAAATCAAAAAATTGGTCGGGCATGGTAGTACACGCCTGTAGTTCCAGCTACTTGGAAGCTGAGGTGAAAGGATCACTTGAGCCCAGGAGTTTGATGTTGTGGTAAGCCATAATCACGTCACAGCATTCCAGCCTGGGTGACGGAGTGAGACTCCAACTCAAAAAAAAAAGAAAAAAGTGAGAAATCACTTCGATGTAGAGTATTCCCAAATACCTTAGGCAATCCTAATTGATTTAGCAAAAACATTTCTTTGAGAATTTTCTATCCTCCTTCCCCTGCAGCAGTGTACCCCCACTGGGGGAATGAAGGGACTAGCAGAGACAGGGTAGCTAAAGCGAGCACCTTTTCAAAGCATTTTGTGTCAAGGGTGTCCCATTTCATTACCTCACTAGTGAATGACTACCAAGAATTAAAGAGAACAACAATCTGCACACCCCTTGATCCCTTCATTCGTCTCACTTACTCCATGGAGTCAATGATTTTTTTGGGCTCCACAGGGCATGGATAGATCACTTCATCGATATGCTTCAGGTTACAATTGGAAAAGGCAGTCGAGATGTGTATGAAAGCTTCGAGCTTTGGCATCTGACTAGCCATAAGCAAGAGCTGCTGGGTGGCTGTGACGTTAAGCTGCACGGCATGTCTAGAGAAGAGGAAGCAGAAGGAAATACAATGAGGTCGGTCAGCAACTGCCTTGCTCCAATAAGTGGTGCACCTGTCAGATTTGGGTGGTTACATCAAAGGACCAGGAAGAGAAGGATGGGTTACGGCTACACAGTTATGTGACCCTTGGAAGCGTGATGTATGGATGATATGGTGGACATAAATCCTATTCATTGAAGCACTGTACGTAATGTATTTAGAAGTCACTTGATTCTAATCAACTGGAAGGCAAAAAAATCATAATCTTTTCTATTTATAAAGGAGCTTCTATAAGCAGCCATTCGAAGAACAAAAATATATAAATTAAGAATCTAACTCAAGAAGTAAGAAAATACTACTAAATTGGAGGGGAGTAACAGCAATCTTTTTTTTTTTTTTGAGTCAGAGTCTCACTCTGTCATCCAGGTTGTTGGGTAGTGGCACAATCATAGTTCACTGCAGACTCCACCTCCTGGGTTCAGTTGACGCTTCCGCCTCAGCCTACCAAGTTACTAGCTGGGACTACAGGCACGTGCCATCACACCTGGCTAATTTTATTTGTTTATTTATTGAGAGGAGATCTTGCTATGTTGCTTATACTGATCTCAAACTACTGAGGCTCAAGCAATTCTCCCACCTTGGCCTCCCAAACTGCTGGGATTACAGCCATGAGCCATTGTGCCTGGCCAACAACAATAACAACAGATTTTTAAATGGGCAGTATAAGTTGTTATTGCAAAGGTCCAGGTGAGACATGAGAAGCGATGTTAATATCTACATTGTGGTTAGTAGAATTTAAAGCTAGAGAAATGCCTTATGTGATGACAATGAAGTAGCTCATTCCAGGAATACAATATTTATCTAGCATCAGGAAACCTACCAATCTAACATAACTCAAAAAGCAAAAAATCAAACCAAAACAAACAAAAAACCCCAACAGCCATATTACCACTACATATTTTTTAAAATTTTAAAGCGGCATTTAATATCTATTTCCAATTTAACTAAAGACATTCACTAGAAGAGAAATAAAATGATTAAACTATATTTTAATTTGCTGGTCAATGTCACACTTAATGGTGAATATCTATAGGAGCACTACTTATAACGACAGGGCTAGGCAAAATGTCTAGACACACTCTTCCTACTTAACATGGCTCTGAAGTTCAAGCCTATAGAGAGGAAACTAAAATTAACAAATAGATGTAAATACTAAAAAGACAGTCACAAAAATTACTATCAGATTATATAACTGTATATTTGGAAAACAAACAGAAGCAGCATAAAAAAAAAAAGCTGGGCTGTATAATAAGGTAATTCAGTAAGGTGTTTACTTATAAAAATTATGCAAAAAAGCCACTAGCTTTTCCATACATAAACAAAAATTAGAGGCTACATTGAAGAAATGTTTAACATTGAACAGTAAAAAAAAAACAAATTAATTATAAGTTAGTATATTAAAAATTATAACATTTCATTAACTGTAATAACAGAAAAATTGAATAAATGGAAAGACATTGTTCTTGGATAGGAAGAATCAATATTTTAAATATGCTAAATTTTTCGAGTTGATCTGCATATAAAAGGTAATTCTAATCAGCTCCCAAAATGTTCTAAAACTTGGAGAAATTAATTCTAAATTTATTCAAGAGGTATAAGCGGGTGAGAACATCTGAAAAATGTTATAAAAAATAAGAGTGTGTGTATACTTGCCCTAATATAATAAAAATACAGTAATTAAAATTGTATGTACTGACAGAGAAAGCCTGATTAACAGAGCAAGATAGTTTAAAAATTTGAATTTAGTAAGAGTTTCATTTCAAGTAAAGAGTAAAAGTAAATTATTTAATAAATATTTTTTAAGAACTATCGGCTAGGAAAAAATAAAACTACTTTCACACCTACAACACTGTTTTTATAATAGAATTTTCTCAACCATTTCCCTTTATAGCTAAATAAATGTTAAATGGATCAAAGATCTAAATGTAAAAATGAAACCATAAAGACACTAGAAGAAATTATATATAACTGCATAAATGAGTTGAAAGACATATGGTAAGTTGTTAAAATATATTGGGTCTTATAAAAGACTAAGAATTAATATGCTGAATCTTCCAAGAAGTCTTAAAATTAGTAAGAAAAAAGTTTCAATGGAAAAATAGGCAAAGAACACAAATAAGCATTTCATAAAAGAATAAAATGCCAATAGGCGCTTAAACATCATCAACCTTTGTATCATCAAATAAATAAAAATCAGAACATGCAATACCATTTCCACTGTCATATAGGTAACATTAAAAATAATGTTTGGAAATGAGCATTCATGTGCACAGGGACAGTGTAAATTGACACCATGTTTTTGGAGAACAATTTAGCATTATATGTAAAAATGCAAACTGTTCATAATCTGGGCACATCTGATATGCATCTGACAAATCTAGGCTGGGCGTGGTGGCTTAGCCTGTAATCCCAGCACTTTGGGAGGCTGAGGTGAGAGGATTGCCTGAGCCCAAGTGTTCGAGACCAGCCTGAGCAACTTGGTGAGACTCCAAGCAACTTGGTGAGAACTTGTCTCTACTATAAGTCACAAAAACTAGCCAAGTGTGGTAGCATGCATCTGTAGTTACTTGGTAGGCTGAGGCAGAAGTGAGTTTCCAACTCAAAACAAAACGAACAAACAAAAAACATGTACAATGGAATGTCATGCAGTCATTAGAAATTAAAATATAATATTTATTGACAATAAAAGATATCCAAAAATATAATTGAGTAGTTTGCAAAACATCATTTTCAATAGGATGCCATTGTTTTGTAAGATTGATCATACATTATATAAACAGGGATGCACACAAAAAGTTGGAATGGATGTTCTCCACAGTATTAAATGGCTATCTCTGGATGGCGGGATTTTGAAGAAGTTTAGCTTCTTTATTTTTTTTTCATCGAGTTTTTGTTTTGTTTTGCTTTTTACAGAAACCATAGAGAAACTTACAAGCACATGTGTACCTGCACATGCATGTCTACAAACCACGAGAGGGAAAAGAGACTGTACCTCAGAGGGTCATCAAAGCGTACGGTGGCTGCACAGTGGAAGACAACATTTGTGCAGGTGATAAGCTCCTGCATGTCCTCCTTGCTGATGGCAAAGTCATTCTGGTTGAGATCTGCATAAATAGCTCTGATCTTCTCATGCACGTTTGGGCAGACTTCTTTGACTTTCTCAAATAGCTAAAACATATAGATCGGTATACAAAGAATATCATCATCATCATCATCGTTATCACTGCATTGTTCTTGTTAGCATTGACCTATTTCATTATACTCAAAAACTGGTTTTAATTGTAGTAATATTACCCAAAGAAAGCTTTCTGAGCCATCTGCTTCATTTCATACAATTCAGTCAACTTAGTGGAATTTCTGCTCCATTTGAGAAACATTTGAAAAAGTTAGTTCCAGAGTGAAAAGGTGTTAGTAAGTCATCCACATCCTGCTTTTAGCCTCTTTTCCCTTTTAAAGAAACTTATTGTTTACACATGATGATAGTATCCATTTTTGGCTGAGAATAATTGTTACAGTAAAAATTACCAGTTTTAACACAACTTTTACAAATTACCAACAAAATTACCAACAACTTGGTTAACTAGCCCAGATTAATAAAGTATCTTCTCAGCACAAATAGAATTAGAAAAGAACAAATCAAGCAAATTTATAATAAGTGAAACAAAGATTTTATGTAATCTCATACTAATATAAATGAAAACTATTGTCTAATGTGTACATGAGCTCATGTATTTTTTATGGGCTATCAATTGGTTTTTTAAAAATATTCTAATTTATTTATAAAGGAAAACAAGAAGAGCACTGGCAGTTCCAGCTTTTATTACAATTATTCAGACAGAATGGATACTATACCTTCCCCTCCACACAGAAATTATTAAATTAGTATTTCCCATCTTTTAAAAAAATATGATTTTAATAAAATGAACTTGGTTCTAACCTATTTTGATTAAATGAAATTTTACTGTAGTATTGGTATGGTACATTAACAGTGAGAAAAAGTAAAACTAAATGTTTACAAAAGTTAAGAGCAGAGAAAATTAGCCTGTGGTTTTAATCATAATATGGTAGCAGAGACAGTCTCTTCTTCTCCCCCTTAACCTCAAAATAATGCTTCCATCTATTCCTCAATTCTTAGTAGCAGGCTTATTCTCTCCATTAGAGATCTACCCCAGGCTTTTTTTTATCGGGTAATAAAAAGTTGATCTCAGGTAGTCAGAGAAATCATGTCTCACTTGTATCAGGCAAGATCAAGTTCAAAGGCCAGCCTAGGAATTTAATGGAGATGACTAGTAAAGGAATCAAACCAATACTGGTGTGGCAAGTTAAGATACTTCTGTCTACCATTTTTCTGCACTGTAGGGTCAGCCTTTTCAGTGGGGTATTACTGCAATTCTGGAAATAATTTGGAAGTTAGGTCAATCCTGGATGCTTTTTTTGACATCTGGGATTGGTAAAGCTGATAAAATGTCCTAGGCGTATTCTCAATAAAGAGATCATTTTCCCTCTTCCAGAAAGATCTTTAACAATTCTTCTAACATCAATCCATTGTAAACACACTAAATGTTTGCTTTCAGATAGTTAATATAAGTTGTACAACAACATTAATATAAGTTGTACAACAAACATATGTTGAAAATGTTTAATAAGCTTATCTAAAATTAGGCCAGTTTTTTCCTTTTTTGATAACTGAATTTGTAGAAGTCTCTTTTGAGTCTGCATGATATATTTTATTCACTGGAAATTTACTTAGCATTCTGTGGACACTTTCACTTTGACCTGTGATGATTTCAGACTACTGGAGAGTAAAAAGTGGGGGATTACTTCTGCATCCATTCTTCTTGCAGTGAGGGCCCTTCTGTACGATGTAAGATATTACACATAGATTTTCTTTTACTTTTGGTTTTTATGACTTTAAAGGGCAGAGGATACTGTAAGACCACATTATACTTTCAAGAAATCTGTACAACATTGAACACCAGGATACTATATTTACAGCGTTACTGTTCTAGGAGATAATTACTGTTTTAGGAAATAATTTCCAATATATGTTCTATCTATTGATTAGTATTTCAAACAAAGCAGCATATCTGAATGAACACAGTAAAATTTTGAAAATGTCTGAGTTTTCTGATCTAGACAGTAGTTGATTATAGTCAGTTGAGACAAATCAATGAATTGGTTGCAGAAATTAAAACCACAGTGCTAAATGAGGATCCAATTGTACTGTATTAGTCTTGCTCAGTAATATGACTTCCCTTACCAGGAATCTTACCATACTGTTACAGCATCTAAAATAATACTCTTTAAATGTGGCCACATCCTGAATAGAATGCTAGAGATGACAGTCAACTGCTATCCCAAGGGGCCATGGGTTCTGGCCAGCACTTTTCAAGGTGTTATCCACCAAGCCAACTGAACTGGAATCACTAGTATGCATATTTGAAGTTGGCCATGGTGCAGTGGCTCATGCTTATAATTACAACACTTTTGGAGGCTGAGGTGGTAGGATTCCTTGAGCCCAGTAGTTCGAGACTAGCTTGACCAATATAGCAAGACCTTGTCTCTACCAAAAAAAAAAAAATCAAAAAATCAGCTGGGCATGGTGGTGTCCACCTGTATGTAGTCCAGCGACTTGGCGGGCTGAAGCAGGGTGATCACCTGAGCCCAGGAGATTGAGGTCATGGTGAACTGTGATTGTGCAACTGAATCCTGACTCAAAAAAAAAAAAAAGAGATTATACCCAGGAGTTTGCATTTCAAGTTTTCCAGTTGATTTTTTAACAAATTAACATCTGTGATTTTCAAACTAAAGGCATAAAAAAAATCAGGGAACCAGGTTAAATATTATTTCTTTATTCTACCTTCAGAGATCCTGACTTGAGAGTTTGGGTGTAAGCCAAGAAGTTGTGTTTCTTAGCCACCTCCACAGATGGCTCTGGTGGTCTAGATAATATACTTGGGGGAAACACTGACTCTGAAAAGTCATGTCTATTCTTAAATTTTCCCCTTTACTTTGTAAACTCCTTGATTCTTGTTCATCTGTTTATGCTTGACAGTATACAATTCTTTCAAAGTCTTAAATTTTGTCTATTGTATTAAAATTAGTTTCTGTAAGAATAGTAATAGAACTATGATTGGGAACTTGATTCCTGAAATTGTTTGGTTACCAGCTCTTTTGTATTTGGGTGATGAAAGATAGATAGTGACTGCTAAAAAAGTGTTCCCTGCATGAACTGCTAATGGGAGTTTAAAGTACTCAGAGCAGACCCTCTTACTTTATTACAAGAATAAGGATGAAGAACAAGATGAAATGGTGCAAATGGATCCAGGATAGACATCAGCTCTTCTGAAAGTCCTTTTTTTTTTTTTAGAGATAGGGTCTCACTGTGTTGCCCAGGCTGGTCTTGAACTCCTGGGTTCAAGCAATTCTCTTGCCTTAGCCTTCCAAAGTGCTGGGATTACAGACATGCGCCACTACTCCTGGTCTTTTTTTTTTTTTTTCCTAACATGAGAGGTTAATTAAAAAAGAAAAAAATTTGATGGAATGAAAATTAGTAAAGAAAAAACATAATTCCAAAAATTTCATTGAAAGTGAAAGGCACGGGGAACAGCCAGAAGGATGTCTCCCAAGATGGTGCCAACACTAGGGAACCTAACAAAGACAACAAAGGCTATAAATTCCTGCCTCTCCCGTGCGCGCGTGAAACTTAAACTCATGTACAAACATTATCTCCCTATAGGAATACTACCTCATAGCTCCCTCCAATAAAGACCCTAAGATGGCTCTGGCTGGCACGGCCAGGCTCAGAGAGCACAGGCCGCCCCCTCCCAAAACCGATAAATACAGACCTCTCTCTCGCCCTCTCTCCCTCACTCCCTTTTCCCACCAGGCGGTTACAGACCTCCTTCCCTCTCCCTGTAGCCGCTGCTCTAATAAATCTCTTGGCCTCAAAGGGTACCGAGTCTCACTGGCGCCATCGTCCTTCGGAAAGCCCACCAATAAAGAACTTAATTATTTGAAATCCTATTATTCTATTATTATCTTATTCCTTCTCATTGCATAGATTCATATTCTCTCTTTGATGGTGTACAACTGAGAAGGTAAAGAGTTGAGTAACCATTTGCCATTGTCAAAACTCAAGCAGAGAGACTGCCATTTTTTCATTTTTATGAAACCTTGTTCTTGACAAGAGTAGGACATATCTCTGTGGTCACTGAAAGGTAACAGCTGGGAGGTAATCTAAGCATTTGAAACTGTACAAAACTACCCATTTCTCTTGGAAAGTTTGGGAGAGTTCCATTGATTTGACGTTACACAGGCAAGTATTTCTCTCTCTTAATTTGTTTTTAAACATGGACTATTCTACTATTCAAGTAACAAATGAATAGTTACTTGTAGCCCAGAGGTGAGAGAGAAACTTTGCAAATCCTAAGTAAGCAAATTCAACAGGATGAAAAAACCAGAAAGAGCAATTCTCTGGTTTCAGTAAACTCCTAGGGTATGACTTCTGTAGTCAGACAGTAATACTGCATTTTTACTAGAAGGAATTAGGTGAGAGGTGGGAGCATCGAGTTTACATAATGCTTTTGAAACAATGCAAAGGCTCTGACCTTGGGCTCTTACAATCAACTAGTTGTCCTCATGATCTCATTTGGGAAGTATCACAGAAGGTTTGGTCTCTACGTCCTGGGAATCATTGAAGGTAATCATAGCTTTTCTAAGCATGAGAGTCTTTGGTCTTAATTCATTTTACTGAGTTCCTTTCTTCAAATATAACCATATATTTTAGTCCCAATAAGTCATCCAACTCTGCTTAATATTTGTATTTTGTGAAAAAAGGATCCCTGAAACTAAGGAGCAATCTCTGTGGAATAGCTGGTGTCCCAAAATGAAAGAGACTCTGTGAGAATTTTTAGAGTGCTTATTGAAATCAAATCAATGAATTCTGCAAGTTACTCTAAGTTGAAAACAAACACAAATAGGTGCATGGAATTAAAGCAAAAAAAAGTCACAGTCCATGTACAGATTCACAAAATGTGAGAAGTTTGCTAGTTTACTAGTAACTCCCATAAGATGTAAAGAATTAATCTAAAAGTTTTGTTGCTTTTAGTGAGGATTTTTTTTTTTTTTTTTGAGACGAAGTCTCACTCTGTTGGCACACTCACAGT